TAGTTTGTCAGTTATTCTCAAAGGGAAACTTATGAGAAGACAGGACTAAATAAAATGTATATTCTTTACCAATAGATTAGTCTTTAAGATTATATTTGAATTCATGGCAAGAGAAACCTAGAGGGGAGTTTTTAAAGGCAATTATATACAAATGTCATTAGAAATACTGAAAGTTGATTAAGAGAATTTGTATTTTCTTTTGAGTGTTATAAATCTGAATTAATTTAATTTGTCTTAATAAACACTATAAATAAACTTAATCATGTGCATTCTGTATAATTCCTCACCTAAGTGGATTTAAACCTGATCTTAAAAATGTATATTTACAGCCAAAATCAGTTTGGCTCAGTGGATAGAGCATTGGGCTGTGGACTAAAAGGTCCCAGGTTCGATTCCAGTCAAGGGCATGTACCTTGGTTGCAGGCACATCCCCAGTAGGGAGTGTGCAAGAGGCAGCTGATTGATGATTCACTCTCATCGATGTCTCTAACTCTCGATCCCTCTCTCTTCCTCTCTGTAAAAAAATCAATAAAATATATTTTAAAAATGTATATTTACATTTTTAATTGTTTAAAAATATACCTATACTAGCTATGTCTACATAATATTATTTTCTTTTTTTTTTTTTTTTGGTCAAATGCAGAAAAGTTAATGGAATGGAACTTAGGTTCCCCTGAGATTACTGTTAAAAATTTTAAAATAATGCTAAAGCCAAGAGCTAAAAAACTAAATACATCTTCTGAAACAAAATTTTGAATTGTGGCTTAAAAGAGAGAGTGCGTGTGTGTGTGTGTGTGTGTGTGTGTGTGTGTGTGTATGTAGAAAGAGAAAGGGATAGGGAAGAGGGAGACAGCATTCACTATGCTCTTCTTGCTATTAAAAAAGAATAAGAAGCCTCATAAAAATTTTTTAGGCCTCTGTCATCATCCTACCAACAATAATCACAGAGAAGAATGGAAGGTACATCTTACCACTCCTTAATGAATAACAAAGTGACTAATGGTAGCCCTGGGTATTGAAGAAATTTAAAAACACAATGAGAAAACCTGCCTTAGGTTGATATTAATTACTATTATCATTGAATTCCATTGCTCAAATTGTTCTCCATGGTAGAGTAAGGAGTCATTGTCTGCTGGCAATGTTTTTCTCTGCCTGAAAAATTTCATAGGAAAATACAATGTCCTGTGTCAGCAACACCAAACTCCTTAAAGGTCAAAAGATTTGGGGCTCCTAAGGACATGGAAATGTTTGCTAGGCTTTATCTAAAGGTACAGTGAAAACTATAGAGGCTATATTCCTGATCCCTTACACCAGTGTTTCCCAAACTTCTCTCATGATGAGAATCACCTAGTGGAGTTGTTAAAATACAGATTCCTGAATCCCAACTAAGAAGTGCTAAACTAGAATTTTGGGGAACATATATCAATAGGTAAAACTGTATACTTAATAGTCCTATATGTTCCTAAAATTTTACCAATATGTTCCCCAAAATTCTAGTTTAGCACTTCTTAGTTGGGATTCAGGAATCTGTATTTTAACAACTCCACTAGGTGATTCTCATCATGAGAGAAGTTTGGGAAACACTGCCTTATACTAAACTGATAGTGGAATGTATGTTTCCATTTTAGCATGTGATAGGAGTAGGTAAAACACAAACATATATGGGAAGATCAGGGTTGTTGTTTTTTAAATATATTTTTATTGATTTCAGAGAGGAAGGGAGAGGGAGAGATAGAAACATCAATGATTAGAGAGAACCACTGATCGACTGCCTTCTGCACACCCCCAACTGGGGATGGAGACCACAACCCAACATGTGCCCCCAAACAGAATTGAACCTAGGACCCTTTAGTCCGCAGGCCAATGCTCTATACACTGAGCCAAACCAGCAAGGGCTGAAAATAGGTCTTTCTGAGTGCTTATTCTGAAGTTCTTTAAAAATCTGGCAAAAACAATCTCATTTTAATATACCAGTTTACATAATAAGCAAGTCAGAACATTTGCAAGGCAAGATGTTTTCCTTTATGCAGCCAGCAAAAACAGCTCTGAGCTTATGTTGTAATGATAAAAGGATTTTGAAGCAGCTGACTTGAGGGAATCATAAAAAGGACCCAACCTTATGCCCCAAGGTGAAAAGAATATGCAGAGTCTGCACTGTGCTTCTAGTGTCAGGACAAATCATTCTGAGTAACTGATGCCAATGGATGAGTAAAGGGAGAAATAAAAGTACAGACTAAGACCTGTGGCTTGGTTAGGTGAATAACACCCCTATTACAAAATCATGAGTTCTCATACTCATTTTCTAAATTCCTTGAGATGAATTTATATCATTTTTGAAAAATTTAGTAGTGGAATACATATTAATTCCGGGGAGGCTCCAAATTTCCTGCTGGTTTAAATTGTGAGAGATATCACAGATCACAGCCCCCATTAAAAAAATCTGTGGCCTTTTTTGGAAAGGTAAGTGCAGGGGTGAAAGAAGTATCTGATGCATTCCTTTAAGTCAATTAGGGAATGATGAATATAGTTGCTATTCTATATAATAAAAGCCTAATATGAAATTGCACACACCCCCCCCCCCCCCCCAGGTCGTTCAACTGCTTGCTATGACATGCACTGACCACCAGGGGCGGCACAGAACATGGTGGGGGTCAGTAATGAAGTGGCACTGGCAGCAGGCGGCAGTGGAGGGGCTGCCGGCCCCATGGGCCCTGACAAGAGTGGGACTGTGGCAGGAAGGTGGAGCAGATGAGTGGGCAGCACCAGATCAAGAGGCCTACACTGCACACTGGCCTGCAGCCATGCTCACCATATCTCTGTGTGGGGACTCCAGCACTGTTGACTCAGGTGGAGGGGACTCCAAGGCCCCGGGTCCAGAGGTCAACTGGGACCTACCCTTCCATGACAGATGCTGGCGCTTCAATCGCCTGCCAGGCATAGGGACCACATCCATTCAAGATTTTCATATAAAGTAACAAATAGACAGCTTCTTAGATACAAGCACTGTTCTCATCTTCTGTAATGAATTCTCATTTAATCCTCTCTAATCCCTAGGAGGTTGGTATTATAACGCCATTTTACACAGGAGGAAACCAAGGCACAGAGACAGTACATTACAAAACACATGAAAGAATGGCGCCGGAATTTGAACCCCGGCCATTTGACTCCCACATTTGTTAAATCCTCCTGGGTCCTGACCGTTAGAAAGGTGTCAGTACAGAGACAGTGTCAATGTTTAAAAGGGCCATGCATTCACTAGGACTGAGAACTCTGGCCCCTTAAAATTCCCACCTTTCTGGTGACTCAGAAATTACTCAGCTGTCTTTCCCTAAACGCAGTACTCCACCCACTTTACTTAACTTTGTTGCCCAGCAACAGACCATCACCGCACAGGAAACAGAGAGGGTATTTCAGACTAAGGATGTTGCTGCTCAGGATTCAGCAAGGACCAGGTCTGCTTCAAACGTCTGCATTAGGCAATGATGTAATCTTATAATCTTAGGGACTAGAGGCCCAGCGCACAAAATTTGTGCATAGGGTGTGTGTCCCTCTCCCAGCCTGCACCCTCTCCAATCTGGGACCCCTTGAGGCATGTCCAATTAGGATCGGGCCTACATGGGCAGCAGGACATCCCTCTCACAATCCATGACTGCTGACTGCCAACTGCTCTCCTGCCTGCCTTCCTGATTGTATCTAACTGCTTCTGCCTGCCAGCCTGATCACCCCCTAACCACTCCCCTGCCAGCCTGATTGATGCCTAACTGCTCCCCTGCCAGCCAGTTTGCCCCTAACTGCCCTCCCGTGCAGTCCTGGTCATCCCTAACTGCCTCCCCCTGCAGACCTGGTCCCCCCATCTGCCTTTCCCTGCAGGCATGATCACCTACTACCCTCCCTTGTAGGCCTAGTCCCTCCCAACTGCCCTCCTCTGCTGGCCATGTTGTGGCAGCCATCTTATGTCCACATGGAGGCAGCCATCTTGTGTTGGAGTGATGGTCAATTTGCATATTACTCTTTTATCGGATAGGATGTGTTCTCATTCCTCTGCTGTACCACCACAAACATCCTTGGGGGGCATTTTCTCTCACATTTGAAGCCAAACTGAGGAAATCTAACTTTTGAGGTAGATACAGCAGAACCTTTGTGACTGGACCGCAAAGGCTAGAAAAACGAGCTCAACTGGGTGGATTCTCAACAGGCCATTAACCCAGCGCTGCTCTTTGGTGGTCTCGGCCTTTGGGGAGTTTACGAGCTGTAAATTCCACACACAGACCTCCCTGAGGCTCTCGGTCCTGTCAAGTCCGAGGAAAGGTCTTCGCTGTGGCGAGCAAAGAGCCCAAACACAAACACAACGAAGCAGGAAGGAAAGTTCTGTACGAAAAGAAGAGGGAGGGAAAGTCGCGAAGAAAAGCGCGCTCCCACAGAAATCGATCATGAGCTCCGACGCTCAGCCCCGCCTACCTGACGCCGCAGAGGCTCGCTGCTGCGCGCGCAGCCCCGCTGCTCCAGGGCGGTGGGCGGAGTAGGACCGTGCGCGCGCGCGCGCGCCCGCGCGCTTGTCAGTTTGACCAATCACGCGTCTCTGCCGCCTCTTCCTTGGCTTCGCCCCGCCCCTCCAGGCCCCGCCCCTCCCCTCCCTGGCCCCCTGGTGGAGACTCCTGGCTGTGCGCGCGCAGTGCCGCCGCTCTCGAGAGCTGGGTGAAGCCGAGCTGCGCGCGTCAGTCAATCTGGCCAATCTCGCGCGGTTCCCGCCTCCCGCGAGGCCCGGCCCCTGGAACGCGAGCAGCCCTGGCCCGCACTGGGCGGGTGTCCGTCGCCGTGGGGATGGCGGAGGGAGGTAGCGTCCGGGGCCGCGGGTAGCTGTGTGGAAGCTGACCTGCCTTGGGGGTCCGCTGTGCAGACGAACAGCGCTGCCTTTCGGCGGTCAGGGGCCCTCTCAACCTCCCCTCGGCCCGGGGCCTCCAGGGCTAGTGTGGTTTCCTGCAATGGTGGGAGGGAAGGGAGGACTCCTCTGTCACACCCCCTTCCTCCCCGTAAAGTTGGTGCCTTTGTTTCAGGAAACAAGCTAAAGTGGACTCTGCTTTGCAGGGTCTTTTCGCTATTTAAATGGAAATGGTGCAGACAAAGCGTACATTTATTTGCTTTTGTGTTCCTTATCCCTGGGTTCTGGAGGGTCATTGGTTCTCATCGCACAGCCTTTAAGGTTCAGGGCGGTGGGACAGGACTGTCTGATCATATTCTTTGGGGGCAAGATTTCAATTGTATTTCCTCTCCCTATGAAGCTGGCAGAACGAAATAAAAGAATTGTTAACTCTCCAACGTTGTTCTCCTCCCCATATGGCAGGCTTTGAATATGAAAACAAATGGAGACGCTCGCTAGTTAATTTGTCATGAAAAAAACTAGTAGCCACCATGTGAACCAACACAACCTTATTTAGGAGGGTAAATGGAAAACAACAGCAAAAAGCAGTAATGAATCACAGCTAAGTGAAAGAGGAAGACGCTGGCTTACTTGCTGATGTTACCTATAATACAACATTCTTCGATAAAGAAAATTTATGTGGGGTTAATTTGATTTCCGTTTTGTGATGATTTTTTGTGTTTTAGAAGTATACCAAGATAACATTTTCAAGATGGAAAGTCCCTCGGACTCAGCTGTGATTTTACCTAGCACTCCACAGGGCTGTGTCAATCTACCATCTCCCCAAACAAGTAGTTCAAGAAAGCAAGTATGAAAATTTAGTTCATTTAGTGGGTCGGTTCTATGTTTCTAGTGATTGTGGCAGTGGTGGTTTTAAGTCTACTGAAGATAGTTAATTAACATCATGTGTAGCATTAATAAGTGTATTAAATAATTTTAGATTTCCCAAGATAATGTATTTGACTTTTCTCCACCCCAAAAATTTCATTTTGAGTCAATTATTTAGTTTCACATCAGGTTTTTACAAATTGAAGAAGTTTGAATCTGCAGGGGCATGAAGGTCTTTGCTGGCAGGATCTAGGTCTATTCTGAAATTTGTAACTGAAGCCCCTAGAGTAGGGTCAGGCATGTGCTAAGTTGCTGAACAAATGTTTGATTCCTGGAATAAGTGTCTCAACACTGTTGTAGATGAGTGATGACTTTGCTAGAATAAAACTAATGGAGCTTCCAGGAATTAAAGACATTTTGTGATGGTTACTTAAGATATATGGAGGCAGCCATCTAGATAGTGTTGTGTGCCATAGAAATGTATGGTCTTTATTTCTAGTAGATTTAATTACATCAATATTTTTTATTAACATTAATGCTTTTCTGCCTTTTACAGCCTATGAGTGCAACACTTAGAGAACGACTGAGGAAAACTAGATTTTCATTTAATTCCTGTTACAGTGTGGTAAAACGCCTTAAAATAGAGAATGATGAAAATGATCAGACCTTTCCAGAGAAACCATCATGTTCAACAGAAGAAAACCGTTTGGAATTGCAAGATAATTTTAAGCACATAGACAGTGAATTTGAAGAAAGTTCATATTTGAAAAATACCATCAAGAATATCAATGCATGTGAATCTAAACCACTTGATACTGGCTCTTGCAGTGATCTCCAAAATGACTTAGATGAGAATCTTCCCCAAAAAGGATTAGATGAAGAAAAGGCAAAATTGGTGAAACAGATTCAGGAGAAAGAAGACCTTCTTAGGAGGCTAAAACTAGTCAAAATGTATAGATCAAAGGTGAGGATAATTTCAGAGTCATTGCATAATTACTTTTTAAATTTATTTTTAGGTAAATAGCAGGAAAGATATTTCAAAAAGAAGAAATTATTTTTAGCATAATAAGCAATAAGCCAAGTATTCTAGAAACCTGGTTTCCAACAACTTTTAACTTAAATATGTTAGATTTACTAGTAGAATCGACGAGGCCTCTAAACACCAGGTTCAACTTTTTAAAAGTACCACCCTCTGTTTAATAGCAGTTGAAGTTTTTCTAGCATGTAGCAATATTAGAAGTATCAAATGTTATATGTAAGTACAATGAGAATAGAAGTGACAGCTGATAGTGGATGATTTAAAAAGTTAAAAATGGGCCACAGAGTATAAGAATAAGCATTTTTAGTAGTGATCTTTTATTCTTCCAAGTTATTAAAAGTTCCACACATTTTGTTTGAAAAACAACAACAAATATACTTTAGATTTCATCCCAGATAGATTGAATTAAATAGGACTTGTACACTTGAAAGAAGATAACCTTTATTTACCTGGATCATTCAAATATCTGCAATTTCTCCTTCCCTAGTAATGTGGAATAAATGATGGAATAGTAAATCTTATTTGCTGTCTCAAATTTTTAGGATTTTTCTAAATACAGCTATGAGTTTTATGCTGAAAATAATTTTGAATATTTCATTTTTAAAAGTACAGCTGTAATAGAAACCTATTCTTGTTTTTCTACATAGTTTTGCCCTACTTAATGCTTTGATGTTTCCCTGAGGGTAAAGGGAGGCCTAGAGGTCCCATGAAACAAAATACCCTAGAACTCAATTGGAGTGTCATCGTAAAAATCACCCTATTTTTCCCCAGGTAGAAGGCTCATTCATGACCAAATATTTTGGTACCTTTCAAACCTACTCCACTGATTTAACAACTTAAGTTAAAATATTATGCCTGTCTAGTTATTGCCATACATTTATATGTGTGTGTTTTTCTCCCCCCCACCCCCCTGTTTCAGAATGACCTGACTCAGTTACAGTTGTTAATAAAGAAGTGGAGAAGCTGTAGCCAACTGTTGCTTCACGAGTTGCAGTCAGCTATGTCTGAAGAGAACAAGAAACTCAGCCTTACTCAGTTGATAGACTTCTATGGGTTAGATGATAAATTATTACACTACAACAGAAATGAAGAAGAATTTATTGGTGTTTAATTTCTAATTTTTCCTCCAGAATATCTTTGAGGATGACAACTTAAAAAATACTTACACATTTTAAAGGGAAGATATATACCATTAGGGCTTAAAAGGAGGTATCTTGATGAACATCAATTTAGGGTACTCTGTTAGATAAATATGTAAATTCTAAAATTAAAGTTTAGTATTTTGGATAATCTGAAAAAAATTGACAAAGATAAGTGAAAAAAAATTTAAATCATGTTTTAAAACATAATTTGGACAGTTTTGGAAGTCAGTTATAATACTTTTTTGTTTATTATAAAAAGATGTTTTATTTTAAATATTAAAAAATAGTTCAATCTGGTGAATGATTAAACTTAAACTGGTCTAAAATGCCTGCCTGTCTCCTAAGTTTGTGAACCTTGTTTTCATCAATTTACCACATATTCCCATCAATATGCTCTATTAGGTAATTAAACTCATATGTCCAAAATTATATTTCCATTTCTACAAATTTGTTTCTTGTATTCCTCATCTCATTTAGTGTCATAACCATCTTTCTCTTACAAAACCACATATCATCTCCTACTTTAAGACATTATGGCCTACAAGGTCTTTGCATTCATCTCCCTTTCTAGCTTCAGCTGTGAAATAGATGGTAGTGTCTACTTAATTCACAGTTACTTCTCAGCCAGAAACCCATCGTCATATGATTGTGTTTCTGGCTGCTCTGTTGTACAGTGTCATCCTGGCCATGTACAATAACCCAAGCTGGCCCAGTCTCGGAGAATTTAGAATTGTGCTCAGAAGAAAGCTCATTTCTTTGTGGCTGAAGCTATTGTATCTAAAGTTGGAAGTCCTTCCTGGGAGCTTTCTGGATTTCTGCTTTTGGGTCCTTTTAAGGGCAAAAACAGCTTTACTTACTTTTAAAAAACCCAACTAACTAAAAAAAAAAAAGTTATTCCCTACTTGTAGACCCCCCTCCTCTAGGTGCACCTCATTTTCAGCCCAGTTCTTCCCAATGATCTAACAAACTTAATATTTGGTATGGCAGGAGACCCAAGGACTGCGCTCTTGCATCCATCCTAATTGTTAGTGCCCATGACAGTAAACTCGGTCACCTCCTATCTATCTTCTCCCCCAATACCCATATTCCTCCCTTCTTGAAATTGCTATTGTCACTGGCTTCTGAACCAAGAGGACTGGGCTAGGCCTCACATGTACTTTCCCTGGCCTTGGGGAGCTGTGCTGTTTTGTGCCAACCAGCCTCCACCAACTGCTGCTCAGCCAGAGGGCCTAAATGTGGCAGGGAAAGTGGTTTAGGTGCTGATGATGCTGGCACTTGACTGCAGCTGCACTGCTAACTTAGCACATCCCCTGGAGTCACTTTTACATGTTCGTGTTCACTTGGGAGAACTACAGCATCAGTGGGAGTCTGGTTCTAGGAGAACTGGAGTAGCTGGCACAGTAATGAGCATTTCCAAGGCATTGGCTGGAGGCTGAGGGCTCCAACAGCATAGTGGGTTCTCTAGTAACAGGGAGTAGGTTATGGAATATGGGTCAGACTTACGGGAGAGTTTGGAGCATAGGGATGCTCATGAGGTGGTCCCTTTTTACAAAATCTTTTCTGTTGAATTTCACCTCCATTTAATGGTACACGTTACAGGCATACCTCAGAGGTATTATAAATGGTTCCTTTCCAGACAACCACAATAAAGAGAGTAATGAATTTTTTGGTTTCCCAGTGCAACTTGGCTAACTGGTACAAGAAGTCTAGTTTTTGGCCCATCTCAGATTTCAATATGTCTTCCTCACTAAGCTTATTCATTTCTTGCTTTATTAGGGTTATTAGTTGACCTAATTTAAATATTCTTATGTCTTGTCTCAGGGAATAGGGAGGCCCAAGGAAAGGAACAACCACACAGTGGAACAGTTAGGACACACACATTTCCCCATTAAATTCACCATCTTATATGGGAATGGTTTGAGGCGCCCCAAAATAATTACAATAGAAACATCAAAGATCACTGGCCACAGTAATGAAAAAAATTGAAATGTGATACAGAGTCATGAAGTGAGCAAATGCTGTTGAAAACATGGCACCAACAGACTTGTTTGAAGCAGTATTGCCATAAACCTTAATTTTGTTAATACTCACCCGAGGATGTTTTTTCCATTGATTTTTAGACAGTGGAATGGAGCAAGAGAGAGAGACAGAAGAAAGAAACATTGACATGAGAGAGACACACCAATTGGTTGCCTCCTGCACATGCCTCAATCAGGGCGGGGCCAGGGATGGAGCTTGCAACTATGCCCTTGACTGGAATCAAACCAGGGCCCTTCAGTCCCCTGGTTTATGCTCTGTCCACTGAGCTAAACCAGCCAGGGCCTGAATAACATTTTTATTCATAAAAATGAAAGTGAACACTTAGCACTTGCTTTGTGTCAGTTTAAAAACTATATTAACTCATTTGAGTATCACAGTGATCAACATCACAATTTTTAAGACATGGAAATTTAATATCAAGTAGTTATTTTAAAAACTAGTTATTTAAAATTAGTGCCTGAGCCAGGATCTGAAACCAGGCAAATCAATACCAGAGCCCTACTCTTAAGTGCTATCCTTAAAGCCATGCTATGTTTGACCCAGTTCATTACATTGCTTTTAAATAATATAGATATTTTAAAGTGCTATAAAATAAGACTATAATTGCTGTTAGTTCAGCAGAAGCTGAGAAGCATCAGTACCATGGACAGTATCAAAAATAGGTTGGGGTGCATGACCCAGGTACCTTTCCACAGCCAATCCCCCAAACTGGAGGATACCTTCTCTTGAAAAGTTCTGCTATTAGAATATAGTCTGGGGGAAGGGGGTATGAGGTTCCTACTAATCTCCACTCAATGCACGTCTCAAAGCTGTGGCATTCAAGCAAAAAGCATTGCCGGTCACCTAGGGTGGCTACTAAAAAATAGAAACCACACAGACTGTTTGGTTTGTTAAGATCTTGGAATTCACAGAGCATTATCCAGTGAAATTTATGGCATTGACTATTAGCAAATGGAGCCTGCAGGCAGTTAGTTTAGGTGACATGGAATTTGTATCACCAGTGGAGGAAGGGAGGAAGACTAGTATGTCCATGATTGATTCCAACTGACAGGACAGAGAACTGTCAATCCTATCTTATGTACAAGGTATTTGTATTCTTCACACACTTAGGTCCATGTTCCCATGCCCCATCCCACAATTCCCTTGTCAGATAATTTTGAAGGACTTTAGATATAGGAAATGTTACCAATGGCACTTCCCTGCTGAATCAGAAAAAAATCTGACTACTTCAGGAGTGATTCTATTACTAAGGGAAGTCATAAAAAATGTTGGTCATATTATTTCTCTTACCATTCCCATCTAGTATTGATCAGTGTGATTATTATAGTATTATCCTGACAATTTCTAAATAAATTTTAAATCTCCTAAATACTTTTTTCTAAATAGGTTTTATAGTAGCTCTCTTGCTTTACCTACACCAGTATACATTGGACATGGCGTTGCAGATTAAAATTAGCAATTAATTCACAAATTGCAGAACAATGAGACATTGACATCACTTGAAGATTGTGGTCAGTGTTCCATATGGTATCATCTTGGGATGTAGCAGTCCACTGGCTATAGAAGAGCAGAGCAGTTTCTGACCAATTAATCTCATTATTCCATTCTCATCTGCATGAACATAGCAATAAACTTTTCAGGGAAAAAAAAAAAATACACATTTTTTTTCTGTTTGCTAAACAATTGAGTAGGACACAAAATTGAATTCTGTTACAATGAACATAACATATAGAAGATTACTAGTATGTTATGTACAAAAAATGTTATAATTTATGAATGATTTAGGGCTTGATAAAAATAGTTTACCATGTTCTCATTGCTAGAACAAGGAATAATCTTATATGTTCTGGCAATTTCTCTCCTGACTATAGAAGAAATGCTTATTGAGGAAAACTTAGGAAATATAGAAAAGTATAAAAATCATCTATAGTTTCATCATAACTTCAGGTAATTCATAAAATTAGAAATGTCACTTGTGGCTAAAAATAACTTTCTATTATCTTTAGTACTTTCTATACTATCACTGTGGAAATAATTTTTGATAAAATTGAAATGAAATAAAATAGATCTTGAATTCTGAGAAAAAATCTTGTTCATTCTTAAAAACAATTATTTATGTATGCATGACAAACATTTTTATAATTAATAATACTAAAATTAAATAATTTGCTATTAAACTATGCAACTGAGAAAAGGCTCCACTTAAATTTCCTGATATGAAAGAACAAAAAAACCATTTAATCAAATTAAAATATTTTTAATTGATTGATTTGGTCTTATGTTTCCCACCAGTATTTTTACATTTGCATAAGAGCAGGATATGTTTTCATCCTTAATCTTTGAACTTCAGCTTGCAGTACTAAAATCTGTTCAGCTTGTTCTTTTGAAATTTGTGCTAACTTTTGTTGTTCCATCATGCTTGCATATTGCCCTTTGGCAATTTTTTCAAAAGTCAGTTGAGACCCTATCCCAAAAATGAAGAAGAAAAAAAATTAGTTGGGTTATTTTCTATACTGTCAAATATAATGATAGCATACAGAATCAATTAAAAGCATTAAAGGAATGCTGGTAGCTTTTATAACAACTGTACAGATTTCAGAACTACTGGTTACTTTAAAAAAACAAAAACAAAACAAAAACCTACAGTTGAGTAAAGACATAAAGAAAGCTTACCCATGGCAGTAGAGATGTCTTTTCTCTCTGAGACAGCCACCAATTCTTCTTGTAAACTGCAGCTTAGATTATAATTTGCTACATCTTTTTGATTGCTGACATTTCCTAGTTTCTTTAGTAGTTTTTTACGGTGTTCCACGTCCTTTTTATGGGTCTGAAATTTTTGTTCCCATGAAGATCCACAAAAGTAATTTTGAAAAAATATATTTTATAAAGACATTATTCTTAAAATTTATTATCATCATTAAGATATCATCTGGTCATCATATATTTAGTGCTTATAATAATGCCTGAACATAGTAGGTACTTAAATTATTTGTTGAAAGAAGGAACTATACACTACCACATTTTAGAAGATCTTGTATATTCTTAAGAATGAGATAAGATTAAAACATGTAGACTTGATATTACTTTGTTTTCATTTTCTACTATAGGCCTGGTGCACAAAATTCATGCAAAGGAGGGAGTAGTTCCTCAGCCCGGCCTGCACCCTCTTGCAATCCAGGACCTCTTGGGGGATGTTTGACTGCAGGTTTAGGACCAATTTCACAGGGATCGGGCCTAAACAAGACATCCCTCTTGCAATCTGGGACTGATGGCTCCTAACTGCTTTCCTGCTTGCCTGCCTCATTGTCCCTAACCACCTCTGCCTGCCTGCCTCATTGCCCCTATCCGCCTCTGCCTCAGCCCCCGCCACTGTGGCTTCCTCCAGAAGG